TGCACCCGGCCCCCTCTATCACCAGCCCTGTGCAATCTGCCCGTGTCAAATGCTTCCACAACCTTTCATCTGCCGGAGTATACACCGAGGGTGGGGGGGCTTTAGTTTAGCAGGTGGGAGGGGATAAATAGAGAGAGAGAGAGAGAATCGTACTGACAGAGACAAGGATTAACATGGTGGAATTTATTGATTACTCTGAAGTTCGGCTGATTAGTTTGTTTTGTTTTGATTATCGAAAATGTTCACACAGAACAAATTATTGAAACTGGTAAGACCATGGCATTTGCGAGACATAGGCAGAAATTCGTTTGTGCTTAAAGGTGGTTTGATTACTAAATATGGTTGTCTCTTGGTGTGGGGTTGAGTTTGAGAGTTGAAGGTAAATCTATAAATAACTCGCAATGAAGTTGTCAGCCGCTGTCGTTGGAGGCGGAGACTCCCAGAAACTTTTCCGTCAAAGATACAGCTGGTGACGCGAGATTCTTCAGATCCGCGAAAGCTTCCAGTCATGGAGCAGAGTCGTAGACAAATTGCCAATTAAAAGATCGGTTTTGTGTACAAATCTAACGGTGTAACTGGTAACTGAAAGTGAACATAATGTAGAGGCCTGAAGATAATACAGCGAGTTTCGAAACATGTGGCTATAGAATATAATTATAACAAACTGTTACGTACATTGAAACTAATACCAGTTATTGAATCTTATAGTTGTTCAACTAGTCAAGAAATCCCACTTTCATGGAACTGGAAGATTTATTATCGTCACTGGGACTGACTCATGCTGTCATGCAGTCTCAAGGTCAGGAATATGTGGAATTGCAGCAAAACTCATTCCGTAAGTCTGTTTGGCCTGGTGCTTAGTTTAGAATGGATACCCCGAGTATGGGCGTGAAACATCGTCTCCTACGTTGAGGAAGAACGTAATTGCAGCTGTTTAAAAGCACAGGAAAATGTTTCGACGAAAGAAGTACACGCAGACATAAGGAGTCCTCGTATGCCTGTACACGTAGCAGTATTTTGTTGGGAAACATCTTGTAAAACAATGAATATGGTCGATCATGGAGGTAGCAGGCA